GGGAGCACTGACCTCTTCCTCACTCCATGGGTTGCGCCTGCTTCTTCCTCCTGCACGGGGTCACAAGTGTGTGCAGGGAATTCCAGACTCGGTGTCCAGTGCAGCGGTTCCTTTGCCCCAGACCAGGCCAGAAAGACTGGAACAGGAAGGAGGAGGCCCTGATGTCCTTACTGGTAACACTTCTCAGAGAGAACTGACGGTAACCGATTTCTTTTAGAACTTTAAAGGTTTCAGACTCAGTTAACCTTTCTTAGATTTGGACAAGGGAAGGTGTCACACCCCCCCCCACAATAGACAGCTTTACAGAGCTACTTCTGCTTGCTGACTCTCTAAAAAGCCATTCCCAAGTATGTCAAAATATATTTTGGGGTAAAATATTTTAATTTCCTTCAGTAGGTACAGGAGCAAGCAAACTAAATTAAATGCTTTATTGGTTACTGTGATGTAGTTGCCTTATTCGTTCTATCCAGATGAGGAAATTTCCAGGTTATGTAATCAGAGGCTAATTGGAGAGATTAATTGTGGTTGATTAAAGTTAAATTTCTTTTCTCTCTAATTTTGTATTTTATATCAATTGTGGTTTTTTTTTTTCCATTTTAGAAATTTATTTATTTAAGAGACTGGGTCTTACTCTGTCACTCAGGCAGGAGTGCAGTGGTGTGATCATAGCTCACTGCAGCCTCGAACTCCTGAGCTCAGGAAATCCATGAATTGCATTTGAGTTAGATTTCTGTGTCCTTGCCTAGGAACCTAGGGCACTATAGCCAGTTCAGTCTAATAGCCTCCTATTTAGTTATTTTAACACTCCCCAGGGGGACTGGTTTTCCCCTGCATTTTCCATGTGTGCAGGAAGCAGGATCTCGAATCATGGACCCTGCTCCCACAGCTTAGGGCTTGCAGTAAAATCCTAAATTTCCATTTCCTTCCCTACATTCCCAAAGGCCAACTTCCCCTCTCCAATTCACAGCATTATCAATTATTTGTCCTTTTTTGTACAATGTTTTATTTATCTGTTGTCCTTTATTTATTTGTCCCTTGTCTGTCTCGAACAGATGCGGTATTTTATTATTTTTTTTTTCACAGATCAATGGATAACTCTTTTAAAAATATTTGTCTTTTGTTTCTGAATATTGCTTGTGAACATTTTGGATGACAGGAAAGCAGAGAATAACCACCTGACACTGCTGTAAAAAATCTTTGTGCCTCTCCTCCTTTTATCAGTCCTAGGCACACACGCCTTTATCAGAATGTCTTTGGGTTGAGGTTCCCCTTTGGAAACTTTACAGGGTGATGTGTCCCTAGCCCACTCTATCTTTTCCCAGTCCTGGATTTTAGAACCGCCTGGGGCTGCCCCAAGATGCCCACAGCTGCTGAATCTCTTGAAGGGTCTAGTGAATATCATTCTTCCCAGAGGACAGCTTTGATGGGGTGGCAGTGAGGGGTCAGCTGGATGTCCTGTGGTTGGGAGGAGTCTCCTAGTATACCCTTCATCTAAATAGCCAACTCCACCTGTAATCCTAACACTCTGGGAGGCTGAGGCGGGAGGATCCCTTAAGCCCAGGAGTTTGAGGTTGCTGTGAGCTAGGCTGATGCCATGGCAGTCTAGCCTGGCAACAGTGTAAGACTTTGCCTCAAAAAAAAAAAAAAGAAAAAAGAAAAAGAAATGTACCATTATTGTTAAGCTGAAAAGGTTTTTGTTTTTTTGTGGTTTCTTTGCCTCAGTCTGTTGCAAACATGCTGCGGTCTGAAGTTGTTGGTCACCCAATTTACTCACCCATTGCACAGCCTATAGGACTTGGGTTGTGTCAACTTTACTTTTGATCTTTTTGACAATGTGATTCTTGTTTTTGTCCCCAAGTGAAAATGCAACATAAATTTTTTACAGGGCTGGACATGATGGGTCACACCTGTAATCTCAGCACTTTAAGGAGTTTGAGACCAGCCTGAGCAACATGGTGAGACCTTATCTCTAACAACAATTTTTTTTTTGAGACAGAGTGTTACTGTGTTGCCCAGGCTAGAGTGCCATGGTATCATCCTAGCTCACAGTAACCTCAAACTCCTGGGCTCAAGCAATCCTGCTGCCTCAGCCTCCCGAGTAGCTGGGACTACAGGCATGCACCACCATGCCCGGCTAATTTTTTGTATATATTTTTAGTTGGCTAATTCCTTCCTTCCTTTTTTTTTGAGACAGAGTCTCACTTTGTTGCCCAGGCTAGAGTGAGTGCCATGGTATCATCCTAGCTCACAGCAACCTCAAACTCCTGGGCTCAGGCAATCCTCCTGCCTCAGCCTCCCGAGTAGCTGGGACTACAGGCATGTGCCACCATGCCCAGCTAATTTTTTTTCTAGATGTGTTAGTTAGCCAATTAATTTCTTTCTATTTATAGTAGAGACGGGGTCTCACTCTTGCTCAGGCTGGTTTCAAACTCCTGACCTTGAGCCATCCACCCACCTCGGCCTCCCAAAGTGCTAGGATTACAGACGTGAGCCACCATGCCCAACCTCTAACAATAATTTTAAGAATTATTGGGGGATGGTCACACTTGAAGCTCTGACTTGAGGTGGGGCATGGGCAATATACGTAACCTTAACATTTCTACCCCTATAATATGCTGGAAAATAAAAAAGAATTAGCTGGGCATAGGGGTGTGCATCTGTAGTCCTAGTTATTTGGAGGATCATTTGAGCTCAGGAGTTTGAGGCTCACCTCTTGTCTTACCCGTGCTCCAGACACGGCTGTTGTTCATAAGTCCCTATTAAAAACAATTTTTTTTTTTTTTTTAGAAACTGTCACCCTCTCTCTTTGAGCTCTCAGTTTCCTCAGACTTTAGGAGTAGAATTGCATAGGACCGCCCACCGCAGAACATCTTCTAATCCTGATTACCTCTCAGAGATGCCACCTCTTATTACCATGATATGGGGGATTAGAATTTCAATGTATGAATTTGGGGGGCAGGGAAACTTTCAGTTCATAATACGCCTTGGAACACCAGGATGATCTGTACAGTATCTTGGCTAGTCTTAGTCATTTGTCTTCTATTTCAGTTATTAGAGTTCATGTTTTAAAATTTCAGTGACAAACCTGGTTTTGAATCTCATGGAATATAAGAAAACATTTGATCTACTTCAGAGAAGTTACATCATGGTGATACTCAGTCTCCTTTCTAAGGACCTATGATGTCTTTCCATTTATAGCGTTTAATATCGATGTCTTTCAGTGTATACTTTTTGCATTATAATCATTTTTTATCCTTCATTAGACTTTTTGGGATTTCAAGAAAATTAATAGAAAGTAGTTTTAACAGACTATGTTATTGTCTAAAAAATTATATTCAAATGAGTTTTTGCTAGTATTTTGCTCAAAATATACTGAGCTATATTTGTGTATAGAGTTTGCCTTCTAGAAACTTACTAAACATATAACATATGCAGAAAATACATAAAAACAATTGTACACAGTGAACCTAAACTGTTAGGGACCGACCTTCCACAGCCCCACCGGACAGAAAAGCAGAGACATCGAGGATGTAATTACACAAGAGGAGGTTTATTTTCTGGCTAGCCAGGGTCCAAGCCCTAGAGCACCAACGCAGTGGCCACTCTTGCAGGCAAGGACCCCGACTGGGGTTGCAGCGTGCCTTTTATCCCTGTGGTGCATACGCTATGTAGTGGCTGATCACGCGTGGATCATGCATTGACCTTTAACATGATTGGTTGGCTGGTAGCCCCACTATACAGGGGTTCAAACAATGCAAAGCTGGCGCAAACAAGCAAGCAAGCAACAGTTTCCATGGCAAGTAAGCAACAGTTTCCAGAAGCCGGATGTTAGTTCCGGCTTCACTGGGGGTGTGGGCCTTGCAGGTATGCAATGTCTCGACCCCTCACAAAACATGGATGGTACCAGTATTTTGAATTATACATTAATTTCCTTTTCTTCTTAGTTTTATAACCTGCATATGCATGCCTATGTCTTGTATTTTACTTTTGGATGTTTTTATGCAAATGATATACTATACGTCAACAGTCCCCAACCTTTTTGGCACCAGGGACTAGTTTCATGGAAGACAATTTTTCTACTGGGTGGGGAGGAGAGGTGGAGCTTCAGGCGATGATGCCAGTGATAGGGAACAGTGATGCCAGCCATGGGAGCAGAAGCTTTGCTTGCTTGTCCATTGCTCACCTCCTGCTGTTTGTGCCCCCCATGTCCCCCCCACTTCTCACCCCATGCCCCATCTCTTAAGTTTCATGGAAGACAATTTTTCCATGGACAGTGATTGGGAACTGCAGCTGTATGTGATACTATATGTCGGGTTTCTTTTTCACTCAGTAATGAATCTTCCCTGGAATGGTAGTTTATTCATTTTTTTAAAATCTTATAGACCTTATTATTTAGAGCAGTGGTTATTTGACAGAAAAATTGAGCAGAGAGTCCAAAGAGTTCCACATTTTCTTTCCTGGCTCATAGTTTCCCCTATTTTTAACATTCTGACTGTATGTAGGGCATGCTAACAATTGATGAAGCAATATATAACATTTGATGATTATGAGAATTGATGAACCAGTTCATTATTACTAACTAAAGTCCATATTTTACATTAGGGTTCTCTCTTTGTGATCTGTAGTTTTTTTTTTTTTTTTAAATTTTAAGCTGGAAAGTCATGATCTGTAGTTTTATGGGTTTTGACAAGTCCATGTATCATGTAGCCACCATCATCATCATCTTCTTTTTTCTAAGTTCACGTCAGATGGGCAACATGGCTATCATAACAAAGTTTGAGGGAGGCGCATTTCACACATGTGCGTGAACACCCAGTCATCACGCTTATGAACTACAAAAGGATGGCACCATCACAGCCTTATACAGAAGAATTTTACTGTCCTAAAATCCTGCTGGGCTCCATCTAATCATCACTCTTTCCTCCCTCTTCAGTGTTTTGAAAAAGTTTGAGGAGTATTGGTGTTAATTTTTCTTTAAATGTTTGGTGGCATATTTCACCAGTTAAAATATTTCATCCTGTGATTTCAGTTGTTAGGGTTTTTTTTATTATGTAATCAATCTCTTTATTAGTTGTAGGTCTTTTCAGATTTTCTGCTTCTTCATGACTTTGCTTTGGTACATTGTATGTGTCTAGGCATTTGTCCACTTAATCAGTGTTACGCAATTTGTTGGTGTACCTCAGAGACTTCTTGAAAAAGGTAAGAGGCGTGCAATTCTATCAGTTGTATTTCACTGTTATTATGCTAGAGCCCTACTGATGTGGCCATAAGGGGTGTGTGTGGGGGGGGTATACATTTCATTGACTTATGATTTGGTGCCATTTTTAGGAAGCTTATATCCCTGAATTATGAAAATCACAACTTTTATAAGGGCTTCTCATCCTCACCCATCCTTGGTTAAAGCAAGGGTTAGAAGTGGATAGAATTGTATATTTCCTTTTCCCAGGAGTTTTAGCTCTGCTAACATCCCAGCTGGTTAGACTTTTGGGAAATAGTTTGTTTTCAAGGCGGTATTTGTTAAGAACAACAGAGTTCTCTGGGCAGCTTTCAAAATGGCTACTCTTCTCCTAGAATCAGGAAGGGATTTTTCTCAATGTTAAATGTGAGAACTGGTAGAGTTTCTGGAGGTAAATCTCCCAAATTTTTGTGGACCCCATAAGACTGGGCTCTTGGATTATTTGCTTCTCAACTTTGTCCCTACTTAGCCTTCAGCAATTCATCAATTTCAGTTTAGGTTTTCCTACCCCTACTGCCTCTTACTGAGGTTTCTGTTCATGGGTTCCTGTTCCAGTAAGTTATGACTCTTTTATCAGTTGGGTTGGTGGAGTCCGAGTAAAATCTAGTGTCCAGATACCATCAAAGATTAAACTGTGTGGACAAGTATTTCCAAGGATGCACACTCCGAGGACTGCTAATGTTAACTTTGTTCCATACACTAATTGGTAGGACTTTGTTGTGACAGGTGCTACAAATCCACCGAACAAAGAAGCATTAGGGGTGTCCCAGGCAGTACATCTTTCTCCCTGGATTCACGTAGACATGTTTTCCTATTCTGCTATTGCTTTACTCGATAATTTAATCCTAGCATAAGAATTGCTGTGTGGGAGGAGGTGAGTATAGACAGAAATCAAGGGACCCCAGAAAAACCTTAAAACTGAGTTTCTGGCCATCACAGGATGGTAGGTCAGATCTGCCTTATACCCTTATACCTCTTATACCCTCTTTTTCAGTTTAGATACAACTACTGACCAGCGTTTATATTAAAAAAGAGATTGTAAGACTCATGGAATGGACTCTTTGTGGCAATAGGATACCAAATTATAAGCAAAGGTTAAGTTATGCACCCTTACACTTAAGGAATAAGCTATGTTCTAACTGCCACAAGATATTTCTTTTTCTCTAGTAGCTAAACAAACATTGGCCTTGACATAAGTGATATTAAAACAATTGCATCTCATCCGCCAGCAGACCCTGACTAACTGACCCCCTATCCCACAAGCCATACTTACAGCTTTAATTAGATAAGAGACTGATTTTTTTTCCTTTTCTTGTTAGATGGGTAATATGGTGATGTCATAACAATGTTTGAAGGAGGCACATCTCACATATAAGTGTAAAAACCCAATCTTCATTCTTATGAACTACAAAAGGATCAAGAGATTGATTTAAGTAACTTTGTTCTGATAAGACACCACCAACCATGGATTGGTTCTGGCCAGATTACAGAGGCTGTGCACTTGAGTGCTTTGGTGTCCCTGCTTCACCTTTTGAAGTATAGGGACCAATTATAATACATATAAATGTTAAGTCTCCACCCCAGAGCGACATGGGACACATGGAATATGCATGTTTACTTATTACGCATGCATGGAATCCCCTGTCATGAACGTTTACCCCGCCTTATAACCTTTTGAATATATGTACTTGGCCAACCCATTCAACATAAATTCCTGTCTTACCCCTTGCAAAGTGTCTGTTTCTGGGCTCTGCAATGGTCACCTTGCAAACTGTAACCATTTATTACTAATAAAACACTCCTTTGCGAATGTATAAATCATGTTTTTTAAATTGACAACATAGAGTCTGATGACCATGTCATGGAAGAAATATTTGGAGACCACAGCATCATGTGGACATCTTTGAATAGAGCAGAGGTCCCTAATGCTGTCAGTTTCACCCATCCTCCTCTACATATGTGGGATGTTTCAGGACTCAGTGGCCTTTGAGGATGTGGCTGTCAACTTCACTGTGGAGGAGTGGGCTTTGCTGGATCCTTCCCAGAAGAATCTCTACAGAGATGTGATGTGGGAAACCTTGAGGAACCTGGCCTCTATAGGTAAGAATGGCAACGTTCCTTCACTCAGTGAATTAGAGAACAGGTGTTTCTTACCTATCAGTGCTGTTTCGTAATTTGGAATATGGACACGGAATACTTTGATGAATAGATCAGACACATCTGCAGTGTACCATGAACATAGAATCTAATAATTTTTTTTATAATTTTATAATAATTTTTTTCCTGGTGTGTATTTTAGGAAAAAAATGGAAATACCAGAATATTGAAGATCAGTACAAAAATCCCAGGAGAAATCGAAGGTAATTTGCACTCAGGAGAGAAGGCAATTTCCTTGAGAGAGAATCTTAGAATGTCAGAAAATGTTAAAAACAAGCAAACAAAATAAATAAGCCTCGAATCAATTTATTTCTTAGAAAATTTTTTCTGAAAACATATACCTAAATGTGACATAGATGTTTAGTGACTATAAAATAGTTTACTTGAAATAGTATTAAGAAACCCTACAAATATTATTTTTTGATAATATATATGGCCAAGCTGTTTTGCCAGCTTGTGGTTCATTCATATTCAAACAATTCACACAGGGCAGAAAGCTTACATTTTCTTTGATAATGTTACAAACACAAGTCTAGTATTTATCAATATAAAATCATTTATAAATAAGCAGTTTGTTTATAAATGTGTTCTTTTCCACAGTAGTCTTCTGGAAGAGAGACTCTGTGAAAGTAAAGAAGGTAGTCACTGTGGAACAACCTTCAGCCAGGTTCCAGATGATATGCTGAACAAGAAAACGCCTCCTGGAGGAAAGCCAGGTGAAAGCAGTGTGCATAGAAAAGTCTCCATTAGTCATTCATCCCTTAATAGGCACATCAGAGCTGACAGTGGACACAAACCATCTGAGTATAAGGAATTTAGAAAGAAGCCATACACACGTAAGCAATCTGAGAAAACCTTCAGTTATCGTGATTCCTTTAAAACACATGAAAAGCCTCAGACTGGAGAGAAACCCTATGATTGTAAGGAATGTGGAAAATCCTTTATTTCTCTTGCAAATGTTCGAAGACACATGGTAATGCACACTGGAGAGGGTCGTTATAATTGCAAGTTTTGTGGGAAAGCCTTGGATTGTCTCAGTTTATGTCTCATACATGAGAGAACTCACACTGGAGAGAAACCATATGAATGTAAACAATGTGGTAAAGCCTTTAGTAATAATGCTACCCTTCAAATACATGAAAGAACTCACACTGGAGAGAAGCCATATAAATGTAAGGAATGTGGAAAAGCATTCAATAGTCCCAGTTCCTTTCTTAGACATAAAAGGACTCACACTGGAGAGAAGCCCTATAAATGTAAAGACTGTGGTAAAGCCTTCATTTGTTCTGGTTCCTTTCATAGACATAAAAGAACTCACACTGGAGAAAAACCATATGAATGTAAGCAATGTGGGAAAGCATTCTCTCATCTTCTAAGCTTTCAAAGACACACGATAATGCACACTGGAGATGGACCTCATAAATGTAAGATATGTGGAAAAGCCTTTTATACTTCTAGTTCATTTCAAAGACATGAAAGAAGTCACACTGGTGAGAAGCCCTATCAATGTAAACAATGTGGGAAAAGCTTCCGTTGTTCCAGTTCCTTTCGATATCATGAAAGGACACACACTGGAGAGAAGCCTTATGAATGTAAGCAATGTGGTAAAGCCTTCACTTGTTCCAAATACTTTCGAAGACATCAAAGGACTCATACTATAGACAAATCCTATGAATGTAAGGTGTGTGGCAAAATCTTCATTCATTCTAGTACCTGTCAAAGACATGAAAGAACTCATACTATTAATGTGTGAGAAAAAATGTTATTTTGTTAAGGAATTTGGAATGCATTCAGCTGTCCCCAGTTCCTCTCAAACACAGGAAGAGAGTAGAGAAAACTCAATGAGATAATTGACTTTGAATAAAGAAGAGAGCCTTGTAATAGGACAATAAACTCTACAGTTGGAATTGGATCTCAGGATTATATGTTGGGAACTAGATTTCTCAGAATTTATTCCATTTATGATTCCATGGTACAATTCACCAGTAGCCTGTTTTACATGAGATTTTTTTTTGAGATAGAGTCTCACTCTGTTGCCCAGGCTAGAGTGTTGTGGCATCAGCCTAGCTCACAGCAACCTCAAACTCCTAGGCTCAAGCAATCCTTCTGCCTCAGCCTCCGCAGTAGCTGGGACTACAGGCATGCACCACCATGCCCGGCTAATTTTTTTTCTATATATTTTTAGTTGGCCAATTAATTTCTTTATTTTTAGTAGAGACGGGGTCTCACTCTTGCTCAGGCTGGTCACAAACTCCTGAGCTCAAAACAATCTGCCTGCCTCAGCCTCCCAGAGTGCTAGGATTATAGGCGTGTGCTACCACGCCCAGCCTTTACATAAGATTTTGAAAACAAACACAAAGAAGGCATTAGTTCCATTTCAGAGGCACCAGGCAGAGAGACAGACAGATTCACATGGGTTGTGCAAATATCTGATTCCAGCCCATTTTTCTGATTCTTTGACTTGCCAATCAAGAGCATCCTCAAAATCACTTGACTTTAATTTTTTCTTTGGTATTTCCAAAGATGTCCTGAGAAGTTTCACATTAAAGATCTATCCACAGTTTGGCTTTTTTCAGCCACTGTAATGTGTTTAACCAGGCAATTAATTCAGACTGTTATGGGTCGTAGTGTTCTCAGATGCTCTGACTCCCCTTATGTATAGATGGAATTAGCATAAGGTCTACTTTGTATTTCACACATACTTTTGTGCCCACTAGTAGTGACTTTGTTCTTGAGTCCGGATGATAGCTATAATGCCACGATCAAAACCACGTAGGTGGGAGCTTGTTCTTCTGCTGTGTTGTGAAGTGACTGCTCTCACTCAGTAATTTCATGTGAGAATAAGTACCTTCTTCCTGTCAGGATATTTCATGTGTTACCTATTATTCACAGCTAGACATAACACCTCAGTTCATTTTCAGTTGTGTTTGATTGTATGTGATTAAAAACAATATTTTGTTTACAAAGAAGGTTTCTGTGCATGTTTCCTTGAAATTGTTTACTAATTTTTTTTTTTTTTGAGATAGTCGTTTTCTGTCATCCCTGTTTTTAAAGTGTAGTGGTGTCATCATAGCTCATTGCAACTTCAAACTCCTGGGCTCAAGTGATCCTCCTGCCTCAGCCTCCCTAGTAGCTGGGATGACAGGCACAAGCCACCACACCTGCCTAATTTTTCTATTTTTTAGTAGAGACAGTGTCTTGCTCTTACATAGGCTAGCTTGGAAAGCAGTCCCCCTGCCTCAGCCCCCCAAGTAGCTGGGACTACAGGCATGCGCCACCACACCTGCCTAATTTTTCTATTTTTTAGTAGAGACAGTGTCTTGCTCTTACATAGGCTAGCTTGGAAAGCAGTCCCCCTGCCTCAGCCCCCAGAGTGCTAGGATTACGGGCACGAGCCACTGCTCCTGGCCTTATTAACTGTTTTTAACAACTGGTATACTAACATGTGTTATTGTCTTTTTAATTTACTGAGAATACATATTAAAATGTTCTATTGTCATCATGGATCAGATCAAGTTTATGCTGCCGAATTGTTCATTCAACATTGTGAGTCAATATTATCATGTACATACATAACTTTAGGCATCTTTGTCCTGGAAATTTTACTTTTCATGCTTATATACTTACAATCTTTATCTTCATCCTAATTTTTCCTTTACTCATATAATTCCAAAAGGTAAGTCAAGCTGCTATGAGTATCCTCTTGCCAAGGATGACCAGTACTATACCTCTTATTAAAGAGGGCATATAGGAGTCTGAGGTTGCTGTGAGCTAGGCTGACGCCACGGCACTCACTCTACCCTGGGCAACAAAGCAAGACTCTGAGCCGGGCGCGGTGGCTCACGCCTGTAATCCTAGCACTCTGGGAGGCTGAGGCGGGCGGATTGCTCAAGGTCAGGAGTTCGAAAGCAGCCTGAGCAAGAGCGAGACCCCATCTCTACTATAAATAGAAAGAAATTAATTGGCCAACTATATATATATAATTAGCCGGGCATGGTGGCGCATGCCTAGTTCCCAGCTACTCGGAGGCTGAGGCAGCAGGATTGCTTGAGCCCAGGAGTTTGAGTTGCTGTGAGTAGGCTGACGCCATGGCACTCACTCTAGCCTGGGCAACAAGCGAGACTCTGTCTCAAAAAAAAAAAAAAAGCAAGACTCTGTCTCAAAAACAAAAGAAAAAGAGGGTGTAATAAATTGTAGTTAAACATGTGACTGCAAACTATAAACGACTATGGAATTCATCAGTAAGAGGGTTCTTTTTTTGAGACAGAGTTTCACTCTGTTGCCTGGGCTAGAGTGCCGTGGGGTCAGCCTAGCTCACAGCAACCACAAACTCCTGGGCTCAAGCGATCCTACTCTCTTAGCCTCCCAAGTAGCTGGGACTACAGGCATTTGCCACCATGCCCTGCTAATTTTTTTTTCTATGTATTTTTAGTTGTCCAGATAATTTCTTTCTATTTTTAGTAGAGACCCCTCTTGTTCTTGCTCAGCCTGGTTTCAAACTCCTGACCTTGAGTGATCCACCTGCCTAGGCCCCCAGAGTGCTAGGATTATAGGTGCGAGCCACCGAGCCGGGCCTAATAAGAGGGTTCTTTATTTTTATTTGAGACAGAGTCTCACTTTGTTGCCCAGGCTAGAGTGATTGCCGTGGCGTCAGCCTAGTTCATAGCAACCCCAAACTCCTGGCTCAAGCAATCCTGCTGCCTCAGCCTCCCGAGTAGCTGGGACTACAGGCATGCGCCACCACACCCAGCTAATTTTTTCTATATATATTAGTTGGCCAATTAATTTCTTTCTATTTATAGTAGGGGTCTTGCTTTTGCTCAGGCTGGTTTCGAACTCCTGACCTCGAGCAATCCACCCACCTCGGCCTCCCAGTGTGTTAGGATTACAGGTGTGAGCCACTGAAGAGGGTTCTTAATAGAATTTCGTATGGTGTTATCATAGCTCACTACAGCCTCCAACTCCTGGCTCAAGCCATCCTCATGCGTCAGCCATCCAAGTAGCTAGGACCACAGGTGTTTTTCCCTCATGCCTGGCCAACCATTCTGCCCTTTTAGATGAAAAGAAAGGCTCAGACTCAAAGTGAGAGCACCGGAGCTGTTCATGTCAGAGACTCACTGCCTGAAAAGCCTTATTGATTTTAGTTTTCACTATTGACACAACTACTTCCACTGATTATTCTGGTTTATAAGCAGTTGGATAATTTTAGTTTGTCCGGTGTTTGGGCTGAGAATGTTCTATTAATATTATGAACGTAAACTTCAGCCACTCCACTATAATAATTTAATGTATTATGATATTGCTATTAAGTAAATTTATGTTGTCATTTAATTTTTTCTTGATTCAAGAAGTAAACTAGGAACTTTTGAATCATTATTCATAGTTCCTCTGCAAGAGTCAGTCTGCAACTTTTTGGTGACTTCTGTTAAGGAAAATAATGGACAAAGAAGAAACTGTAATAACTGGGGTGTTATTTTTTTCAATATAAATTACCAACACGAGAAAAATAAAGATCTATTTTGTGTCCTTTAGTCATGGGAGTAATGTCCCATAACAAGGTAGTAAATGCCCCCTCAAGTGGAAATTCTCTAGTCCAAAGTCTCTCTAGTTGTCACTGGGAGGCGCTCATGGCTTTTGCCATAAGCCCTAGTCGATATTCCACACGAGGCTGTCACACAGAGGATTTGTCCCTGCCAGTACTCCCGGTTTTACTCTACACCCTGTGGGCTTTCCCAAGATATCACCATCTGTCCTGGAAGATAGTTTCTAATGAATAATTTAAATCTGGGATTTAAAGAGCCACAGATGGGTTCACCTGGGACCAGTTACACTGCTTGAAAGGGAAAGCTATTTATACAATGCACATCTGTCGAGATACTACTCCAGGCACTGGAGGTACAACCTTAGAAAGTACGGAATTCTCCAATTGCATGTGCACCTGGGTCCCCTGCTGTCCATTGCTCTGGGGCTTCTCAGAGTCCACACTGCTGTCTGTCTTGAGTAGCTGGAGGCCCCCTGCAGGGAGGGCAGGCTGCCCAGGGAGCCCCATGTCCCTCTCTTTGCAGCCTCCAGACTGGCCTCAGCTTGCAGCCACTGGCCTCAGGCTCTGCTGCCCATTGCAGGGTGCTCACCTGCTTCTCACCAACATTGATCAGTGAAATGGGACAAAGACCTACAATCCCACTGTTTGAATAAAAAAACCAGCAGGACCCCCGCTTTCTTCCTGTTTGTATATAACATAGAGGAGGAAAATTCCGAGATAATTTGTATTAATTTAAAAACTAGCAAATCATTATTCCTTTCAGAAAACAAAAATGCCAGCAACATATGATTTTCACAACAACAAATTGTTACATAAAACAACTAATCAAGTGTGATCTTTTCCATTTTTCTTCTCCTTTCTCCCTGACCTTCATCAGTTCATGGTTGTCATCATGTGCTCTGTGTCGAGGATGTACATGTTCAGTTTTCCCATTTCAAACTCTCGACCAAACCCACCCACCACCACTGACTCACCCGATCATTTCTGCCACTAGATCCTAAGTATTGCATCCACAGCATTTCCTTTCAAGAAGTCTAACTGGCCTTAGTTTGAATCTACCTGTGGCTCTCTCATTTTCCTCAATTTAAATTGTCTTCCAGGACAGACTGTGATATCTTGGGTAAGTACCTTCTCCATCATATTTAGTCCAATTCTCCCTGTGCTGTCTTCTGCTCATTGAGGGAAAACACAGACTGTCCTAAACTATCACCTGCTGTAAACACTGGACATCTCAACCCTGAAAAATCCACACCCCAGACAGAACGTGTAGATGTTGATGCCACCCTAACCACAAGAGGGAGCTTCACCGACTCTCCCTTTCTGGAAAATGGCTCAAAGCAGTTTCTTTTCTTTCTTTCTTCTTTTTTTCCATTCTTTTTTATATAGAGTCTCACTCTATTGCCCAGGCTAGAGTGCTGTGGTGTCAGCCTAGATTACAGCAACTTCAAACTGCCAGGCTCAATGGATCCTCCTGCCTCAGCCCCCAGTGTGCAGCACCACTGCCGGGCTAATTTTTTCTATTTTAGTAGA